GGAGACGAAAGTTTTGCAATCAAATCAACCATAAGCTAAGCGAACACAACTAAATTAAGATCACCCTTATATTATTCTGAAGTGTGTAAAAATTCTTTTGAAATTTGCTACGCAAATGAAAGCATGATGTTAATTTTTTCTGGGATAGATAACGGCGATGACAAAAAAATATTTCACCCTAATAAAAAGGTGTCAAATAGATAAATTTGCATATCAGTGAGAAATGGACTGTTCTTAATACTACAGAAATAAATTCACTAGTAACGTTTATTATAGGTAGAGTAGACTTTTTCAATCCATTGAAGTGAATACAGGAGTAACACAAGATTAACTGTCATGGACTGCACTAGGCGGAATATTGTTAGTGAGGAGAGACAAGACATGAATATTTTCGGCCGATAAGAAGTCTCCAGAATATCTGGATTTCATCGACAATTTATCTCTGATGTCACACAAACTCGAAGACTTACAGGCGAGAACCAACGAAATGGCGGGAGAGGAAGTCTGTGAAGGCAGGAGGTGATGAAGATAACCCATCAACAGTGACAGCAACAACAACCAGCACTAATCACTATCAACAGGGAGGAATTATAAGAATGATTTGGTGATTGGTGGTAGTGTGTTCAAACACAAAGATATACACAAGGCGACATGGATTTCACTAGATGGAAACACCAAGAACCAAATAAACTTCATCTCAATTTCAAGAAAATGGAGACGGAGCCTACTGGACACAAGGTCGAGGAGAGGAGCAGATGTGGGTTCAGACCACTATCTAGTAGAAGGGACTTTCAAGGTGAAGCTAAAAGCCTCGAGGATAGCTGGGGATAGACCACAATGCAAGTTCAACACTCAAAAACTGAAGGACACAACCACAAAGCACACTTTCACTGCAACTGTCAGAGCGAAGCAGGAAACACTACGTGAAATCACCGAAGAATCATGTGTGGAAGACCACTGGAACTCTCTGCAGGTGATTTTCAACGAAATGTCTTCAACGGCTTTAGGAAGAAAGAAGAGACAAGACAAGGAATGGCTCTCAACGCACACTTGAAAGCTAATAGAGGAGAGAAGAATGGTGAAATAGAAAATGATTCAATGCAAGGACGGACAGGAGAAGGAGACGATGAGTTCAACTTACACAGCACTGGACAAAGAAGTGAAGAAGAGTGCTAGGAAGGACAAAAGACAATTCTACGACAATCTGGCCACCAAAGCTGAGAAGGTAGCAGGCAAAAGGGACCTGAGGACATTATATCAGATAACCAAGTCTCTATCCGGGAAGAGATCAACACAAGTGAAACCTATAAAAGACAGCCAATGGAACCCTATTACCAAGGAAGAAAAACAGATTAAACAATGGGGCGGATCACTTCAGAGGACTCTTGAACCGACCACCACCTGCAACCCGTCCAGCCAAAGAGATGAAATAAGTTGGCCTCCAGGGAGAAAAGCCAGCCTAAACTGCACTAAATCCAATTAGGTAGTAATAGTAGTAACAGTAATAGAATGAATGCATCACGTGTAAAATACGATAAATAAAAAGAGATCCATTTTCTTTTTGACAAACAACTAGACTTAAGCAGAGTTTAAAAAATAAATAAAGAGCAAGTCCCAGCAGAAGCATTGAAAATAGACCCAGAGACAACAGCGGACTTGATGACGCCATTACTGGAGAAGGTGTGGAAAGAGGGCAGCGTACTCGAAGATCAGAAGAAAGGATACTTACTCAAACTACCAAAGAAAGGAGACTTAAGTCAATGAAAAAACTGGCGTGGAATTATGCTCCTGTCCATCCCAAGCAAAATACTAAGCCGCATCATCCCGGAGAGAATCAAACAAGCCAACCTGGATGAAAAACGTCGACCGGAAGCGGCGAGCTGGATTCAGGAGAAGCAAGTCATGTATTGATCAAATCGCCACACTACGGATCATCATTGAACAAAGCTTGGAATGGCAGTCACCTCTCTACCTCACTCAACGTCATCGACTTTGAAAGGGCCTTCGACAGCGTCGATCGAGAGGTCATTTGGCAACTACTTTGCTACTACGGGGTCCCATCGACAATTACACATCTCATCCAACAGTTATATGATAATGCTGCATGCGAAGTAATCCACAACGGGAAACTTACGGAAGCCTTCGAAGTGTGGACGGGAGTGAGGCAAGACTGTCTACTATCGCAAATGATTTTCCTGATTGCAGTAGATTGGATAATGCGACAAACAACGGGCAATGAGGAAACAGGCATAAAATGGACTCACATAATATGCTTGGAGGACCTGGACTTCGCCGATGATGACATATGTCTGATTTCCCACAAACTGGAAGATATGCAAGTGAAAAGCAACAAGCTGGCAGAAGAACCATCCAGAGAAGATAGGACTTCAGGTGAACATAGATAAAACAGAGGCGATAAAGATTCCTGACCAACACCAACAGCAACAACAGACAACAATCAGCCGGCATAAATGGGAGGAACCTGAAAGAAAGAACCTCCTTCATTGACCTACCTGGGAAGTATCGTTTCAATTACAGGCGGAACTGACGAGGATATCAAAGCCAGAAGCGGAAAGCAAGGCAAGCTTCCATTACTCTTAAGTCTACATCGAAGTCAACAGCACTCAGCGTCAAAAATAAGATCCGGACTTTCAACTCAAATGTGAAGTCAGTGCTACTATACGGATCAGAGACTTGCAGTGCGCGTCATAAAGAGCATCTCACGCAAACTTCAGACCTTCATTAACAGTTGTCTTCGCTCAATACTCAAGATCAGATGGCAAGCCAGAAAAGATCAGAAACAGGGATCTCTGGCAATGAGCCAACCAACCAGCAACCGATTGTGAAACAAACAGGCAGGAAGAAATGGAGATGGATTGACCATACTCTGAGGAAACCATCAAGTGACATCACTAGACAAGCCATTGCGGAATCCTTTCGAGTTCCACTCGAGCAATAGCCTGACGCGCTCGCGATGTCACCCAGCGGCCTCCCTCCTCAGCGAGTGAGTGTCCAATCCATCTCCACGTTCTCCTGCATATTTGTTGGTTGGCGATTGGTTTGTTCTTGTTTTGTTTGTTTGTTTGTTCCCATAGTTTCCCATTGTTGGTGATTCTTTCCGGTCCGGCCATCTGATCTTCAGTATAGAGCCAGCGAAGACAGTTGTTGGTTGATAAAGGTCTGCATGCAACAGGCTGTTGGAAATATTCTTTGTGACCCGCCCGCCGAGTTTCTGATCCGTATAGAAGAACTGACTGACTTGACGTTGTTTGTATTGAAAATCCGAGCGAATTTCGTTGTTGATTCCGGCTGAGTGACGAAGATTTCCAGATTGTTTGTTTCAGGTTGATGAGTGAATGTGTTTCTCGCCTTCCCGATTCTTGTTCGATTTGACATTCTCGTCCGTTCCGACTGCTTGTAGTTGACACAATGCTCCCTAGATAAGTGAATGAATGAAGTAACCTGTTTCAAATCGCTCCCATTGATGGTGATTGGCGCTGGATGTTTCTGTTGTTTTTGTTGGTTGTTTGGTTATTGTTTACTGTGCGTTTTACCAAAATGAAATCACTCTGCATATTAGTTAGTCATTCAACTACAGAGATTGGCTTAAATTTTATGAATGCTGTCTAATAAAGTTGTTGTTCTCAATGGAGCAAAACAAACCAGTGAAACACAAGGTTTTTGAGAAAGAGGGAGAGAAAACGGCCGTATTCGCCATTCAGTCGAGTCGCTTATTGCAGACACCACTTATGACATTTAAACATTGAGGCAAAAGAAGGGTGATAAATTAGTTTCACAGTCGTATAGAAGAAATAATTAAAAACCTGTGGTATATAAAAAAAACGCTTTGTTTTCGCCATTAAACTTCAAATTTTTGTAAAGCAACTACGATAAACTTCATATTAGATTAATATTAAAAAATGACTTGTAAGTTTTCAGACCAAGATGCGTATTACGACTACTAGTGTGGTGAGTGCTACTTATAATCAGATATAAGTAGTATATCAGTAAACGGGTTCAGAAAAATACTAGTAGGTTTCGGATACTGGAAAAGGCAATCGAAGAATAGAACTGTGAGAAGGTTGTTAGAAATACTGTGCAGAATCGAAAAAACTATCGGATGTGGTGATATTCGACCAATTTGGGAATGATGTGCATATAATGCATTGGAGATAAGGATGACAAATTTATGTACCTATGGTCAGAAAGCATTGTCGGTCTACTGAATTCCTCAGCCTCGCTATTGAAAGAACAAAACTTGAATCTAGAGCATCAGAGATGTCTTCAAAGTAACCAACAGCGTTAATCAAACAAGCATATGTAATTCCGCGTACAGCTGCCACTGAACCACATCTATTGTATGTGTGTGTGTGTGTGTCAGGCGAGTAATACACCCTGGATGCCCAAACCTCGCTCGGTAGGTAGACAGGGTATCGAACTCGTGACTTGTGTAGAGCTACAGCTCTGCAGACCAATGCATTACAACTGACATCACCTTAAGACACTGGAGATAGACGTTACACATTAGATGGTTGGAGGCAGTCTGTGCTAAACAAAGGACTAGACACATTACACTATCCAATAAAGTCCTACATGAGGTAAGTCGTGAGCCCGAATAGCTAGCTCAGTGGCAACGTCTCTGACTACAGAACTCACTGGGTGACGCAGAATCTTAGAAAAGACATGAGTTCTTTCAAGGTTCGAGGTACTAACACAAAAGCTAGGTCGAGGAAGGCTTCCTACCGATTGCCTCTAACTATCTAATACCAACAGCTCATAGCGGACCGTGATGGTGAACTACCTAGTGGCATGGTGGCCACACTGCAAACTTGACTGGTAAAACTCAGCCTGCACCAGAAAAAAGATTAGAAAAATTACACTAGTTAACAACTAGTGTTCGATTAAAGTGTATCTCAATATGCATATGCTTTAACACCATGTAGCGAACAAACAGAACATAAATATAACAACAACAAAAAAAACTGCAACTGATAACTTACTATACTATATGAGGCTGATTTATCTGGACAATTTTGATGTTGAGGTATACAACATGATGAAGGAATAATTAGTCCTGGATAATCATCCGCTCCATTAATTCCACAACACTGAAGCTATAGGAAGACATAGAAAAACAGGATACTGATGATAACCACGTAAAATTCCTTAAGTAGTAATACGAAAAGTGATAATAATACAGGATGATAATACAAGTGCGTTGGCATGCAGCCGAACATAGATCTCCCATGACGCTGACGAATATTCTGCCACTGAACCACCAATACGCTTCATTATCCTACTATATATTGTTGTTCTCTTGGGTTCCAAGTGGAACATACGACTTCAATAATACATCTCCACTTTGTCCTACTTTCTGCGGCCTACTACAGCTGACCTCGTGATTAATCATAGTCTCTCATCACCTCCCCAACTCGCACGATCGCCTCCATGTCACCCTCGTGCGCACCGACCACACACTCATCGATTCCCAATGGCATTCCACTCGAGTGATGGTCTGCGTTGCGTGCGATATCATTCAACAGCCTCCTCAGCGGTCAACGCCCAATCAACCGACTAAGGTCTACATATTAGTTGAAGAATAAACTCTAGATTGGTTTGGTCACCACCAGAGTTTCTTGTTGTCGCTTCTTTCTGGCCGGCCAGCTGGGGCCAACCACCGAAGGGAGCAGCTGCTGATGAAAGTCTACAACTGGCTGTCGGAAATGCTTACCGTGACGCGCACACAGAGCAAGTTTCTGACCCGTATAAAAGAACCGACTGACTTCACATTTGTGTTGATCAGAATCTGAATCTCGTTTTTCATGCTGATTAAGGCGGAGTGCAGTACATAAAGTTTTCAAGACTGGTTTCAGGTCGATGAATGTATATCATGCCTTTCCGATTCTGGCTAGCTGACTTTGACACATCGTCATCCGTTCCGCCAGCTGTGGTTGAATCTGTGCTTCTTGGCTGGATAAGCGAAGGAAATGACCTCTATCAAATCTCTCCCATTGATGGTGATTGGTGCTGGTTGTTGTTGTTGGTTGGTTGGTTGGTCGGTTATCTTCATCACCTCCATCTGTCTTCTCTGTGTTCATCTAGAGTTCGGTGTTTTCTGCCAACGTCTTCTGCCAGTTTGTTGGTTTTCACCTGTAAATCTTCGAGTTTGTGTAACTGTGTAACTGTTGATGAAATTCTACAGTAGCCTGTTGGAAATGCTTTCCGTGTTGGTGTGGCGAAGTTTCTGATCCATATAGAAGATCTTCACTGATTTAAAATTGGTGTTGAAAATCAGATTCTTGTTGTTAGTACTGGGTTCAGAAGATTTCCACACTGACTTCAGAACGATGAATGTCTGTCTTGCCTTTCTGATTCTCGTTTTGACATACTCATCCGTAAGATGTGCCTGTAGTTGACATGATTTTTCCTACTTAAATAAGTGAAGGGACTGACGTCTTTCAAATTTCTTCGTTTGATAGAGCTTGTTACTTGGTTTTGTCGGTGATAGCTGGTTATCTTCACAACCCATTTCTTCACTATGTCCAATTGAATTCCCTATCTTTGTTGCTTCTTCTTCCAGTTTGTTGGTTTTCGTCGTTGATCTTCCATTTTGTGTGACATCGTCCATCAAATGCAGATCTTCTAGAGTTTCCTTATCGATCCAACGAGTTCCTGTTCTCTAGCTCCTCATACACTTTATTGGGTGGAGAATAATTTAAATGTCAATCATTGATTCAAAGACTATTTTACTGGAATTGATTGAGTTTTCCTGTAATGTGAGTTCATTAGGGATCTGATTGTCATTTTCCAAACTCATCATCGATCTGGACTGGTTGAGTGATATAGTTGAGAAAACTGTCGACTGTTGACACAGCTTCCAGAAATTTCTGACAAACACTTACACGCCTTACCACCTGTAGTTCAATTTCGTGGAATGCTTCGCAAATACAAATCTATAACCACAAGTAGTCTGAAGATGCCACATCAACCACTATTGATCACCAGACACTGTCAGGTCGTCTGTTACTCGTCTCACAATGCAAGTCTCATTCAAAACAAGCCTCCTTGACTATATACTGACATGTCAGCTTATCTTATAGCTTTCAGAGTTGATTGAAGCTGTGTACCTAGAGGTGATATGTTTGTGAAGTGGAGAAATCCATCCGTTTTTCACACATTCACATACCTACAGATCTATCAAATGATAGAATATTAGTGCACTTAAACTGTTAGAAGTATTTTAAAGTTTATATACATTTTTTTGCCGAAGATAGATAGTAAGTGTATAACTTCCCTGTTGTAGGATTCATTCAAAATAAATGATTTATTTATTCTGACTGAAACCAGTACTCTTTGTAACGAAGTAGTCATACTCCTGATTGATTACATTCTTTCTACTGACTTTGAAAAGGACACAAAACACATTCTTCATTCTATTTGAAACCTACTAAAGGATGAGGCACAGTTAGTGTATGTTATCGTTATTACCATTAGAACACAAACTCGGTACATTATGGACAACAAGAGATGATCCAAACAAAATCTCATAGTTTGTGCATGAGCTACTGAGATACTGCCCTGGACGTCCAAACCGGACCAGATGGCTCTCTTAAGAGACCAGTCTCCAAGCTTTTGACCTGACTTGATTTGACTCATCCGCAAGGCAGTGGAACAGACTCGCAAGTTTGAATTCTCATGTTTTCCGGTGACGCCAGTCGATCTGTTCAAATTCTGAGGCCTATATACTCCATAGGTTCGGAATCAGAATTTTCTAAGTCCCCCCCCCGCTCCAGTTAAACCTGCATACCCACTGGTCCGTTACCCATACAGGACGTACGTATCCGGTTTTCCACTTCTTTGATAAACATACAGGCTGAGTGGAGTCAGGACCTGGCAGAGGCTGTGAACTCGTAGCCACACGACACCATCTTGACAGGAAGACAGAAGACTACCCACCATCATTTATAGGGTGATGATACAGCCTACGCATATAAACCTCAGAACATGAGTAAGGGCACATATTCGTGATTGTGATCTTTAAACTGAAAGCTTAATCCAGTGATATAATATTCCTAACTGCAACAGTAAAGAACAGACGCCACAATCAAATCACCTTGAACCAACCAATCAAATCGCTCACAATTAGAAATGAATGTGTATTTTTTTCATAATCTTCATGACAAGTTTCACTCTAACCCAAGTCATACCTCAACCTTAATCGTGAACCAGAGTGAAATCTGCAATGTAGATTATGGAAAACATCCATTTGTAATCCTGAGCAATCTGATTGGTTGGTTCAAGGTGATGTGACTGTGTGGCGTTTATTCTTTACTTTTGTCTGTATTAAATCATTCCAAGAAGGCGTACATACTGATGACAGAACAGGTGATGATATAATTTTACAATATAAATCAATTTTTAAGTATCGGTTTTTTGTAGGGATTATGTTTGATTCCATGTAGGATCTCATCATGAGCTGACATCACTTAAAGAACCATTAGAAAATATGGGAGTATTACAAGATAGCTGTTTCGCCAACCTAGTTCGGGACTTTTCAGCAGAACACACATGCCGATAGGGTTCGAACTCAGGACCTTCTGGTTACAAGGCAAGCTAGCTCGTAGACCACTGTGCCACTGGGATCCGATCCAATAACTTGCCCATGAATTCTAACTTCTGCCAATTCACTTCGATGACTTACTGCCTCATCTTCAAACAATACTTGAAAATTAATCTGATGCTCACTAGCGACTGGCCCTATTCAGGTAGTGACCTGGGGTTTTAGTTGGAAGCCGTGACCAGTAGGGTGAAGCAGGCTGAAGATGAGGCAGTAAGTCATCGAAGGAGACATTGAGAAATGGTAGCGCTATGTCGCGAATTGACAGAAGTTACAATTCATGAGCAAGTGATTGGATCGGGTCTCAGTGGCTCAGTAGTCTACTAGCTAGCTCGCCCTGCAACCAGAAGGTCCTGGGTTCGAACCCTGTCGGTAGGTGCGTACTGATAAGGAGTCCCAAACTGGGCTGGCAAAACAGCTGTCTGACAGTACTCCCAGTTGGTTTTCCAATGGTTCTCTAAATGATGTCAGCTTATGATGAAATCCTTCGAATCCAATCAATACAAATCAAAGAGAAAATCAAAAATCAAAAAAAAGAAATGAGAGACACTTACACTTCTTTGTATCCAATCACGATATGAATAACTCTCATCATATTCATCTTCCATTGATTCATCTTTAAATTGTATAATAATATTTTCAAATGCCTGGATAATTCTTTTTTCAGTCTAAAATAGAAGTCAATATGAATGCTGCATTCATCACATTGGCTTACTTCAACTTTAAATACTAAACACAAAGTGCCAGCAGCTATTTCTACACCAAACATTATAGTTAAACAGATTGAATATGTTCCAAGTAGACAACGTGATTCATTATATGCACCACAACAACCGAATATAGCGACAACAATTGTTAATAGGCCTAAACCGATTAGAGCATAGAGTAGATTTTGCATTTTATCTGCATGTCCAGAACGTGATATTGCACTTTGAATCAAAGAATCCACATAACAGTATATAGAAAAGCATATGATTGCAGCACCAATGAGCTATAAATTTTGTGGAATAGAAAAATGAATTTATATTTATTTATTGAGAAGAAAAAGGATTTATAAAATAAAACCCAGTAGAAATTGAGATAATGTTGTGTGCGCTACCTTACCATGGTGATCAGGTTTGCATACTGCAGTAACTTAACAGGCTACACTGACTGAGACATGCATTCCTGCAGGTCTCACCATACCAGGAAAGTTGCTTGTATAGTGGTAAGATTAAAAGCAATTGCTACAGAGTAAATAGTACCAACTTGTATCGGCCACCGGCAACCCCTCTGGGAAGGTAGCTTCTGACACTGCTCCACTGCCTTGCAGACGAGACTCCAAGTCAAAGGCTTGTAAGGTGATCCTTTAGGACAACCACGTGATTCAGTCTGTGCTACTAGGCAGTATCCCAGCCGTCTCACTAACAATGAAACAACGAAACGTTATTGGTTATGGCCAGGAATCGCAATCATCAATGGTGAATGTGCTGCAATCACTTCTTTCTTCCCTTTTTGACAATAATTGACGAATATGGGTTGGTCTTGTTAAAAAATGCTGCTTCCTTTTCCTGATTCACTTATAAAATTAAGGGGCGATGGAGAGACGTTTCATCTTAGCTTTGGACTCTTCATCGGGGCGTATGCATAATCTAAAAAAGGAATATTAACATCCCACTGCTTAGTAGCTACTGGATGGATATCCTAGGATTCTAGTGAAAAGTCTTGGTCGATGTGGCCCACCATGTCTGGTGTGAAGCATCAATGAGCATCAATAAATTGGTTGTCAGTGACGAATTGACAGAAGTTAGAATTTACGGGTTATTGAATTTCCACCTAGTGGCGAAATAGTCAGCTGGCTCACCTCGTTATCTGAAGATTCTAGGTTCTGTCCCTGTTATGGGACGTGGATATGCGCTCCTAACCAATGCTATCCAACTGATGTTGGTTTGTGATGCAATCTACACCTTTTTTAAAGTAATCTCTTGGTTAGGGTACACTACTTTAAATTAATGAAAAGTAAGTCAAAAGAGGCCCAAGTGGATGAATGGTTGACGAGTTTGGTTTCATAACTTGAAGGTCACGGGTGTGCGCTGATGAAGAGTCACCAACTAGGACGAAACTGATGTCTGGTACTCTCTGGCTTTGCTCGTCGGCGGTTTGTCAGTGGAACATTCAACAACCACACTGGTGGTCTGGGACTCAATTCCCGCCCGATGCATATCTGAACCTCGCTTAATCGGTAGTGGTGTGGTACCAATTTGCTGCCATATAAAAATATCTCATCGATAATATCTGCCAATAGACAGAATTCAGTCAAATGGAACATGATCAAACAGGCCTAGTAGCTTCATTATTTACTTTTATGTCTTGAATTCATCCTACTGAGGACTTACTTATACATCACACTAACTAGATAAGTCAGTATTAAAAATATATATCATTGTAACCTACAGATTTTTTGATCTACATGAGTGACATAATTGACTAGTTCTAACAAAGAACTTTGCTCAGATGTGCAGCAGTTGTAGTTGCCACACTGCCTCCTTGTAGCAAACAGAGCAAAAGAAGAAAGTAAAGAGGGAATCAAAAGAGAGATAATAAGGCAGAAGTGCAAGGGGAAAATACTAGTAATATGGAAAACAATAGGATTTTATTCGATATGGCAGGTCATACAGAGTGAATTCATCTGCGTCAGCTGTTGAGGACAATTTTTATTCATATCACCAGTTGTCTTCAACCATTGGTTCTTAGAATCACAAGGAACTCAACCAGGCAGTCCATAGCTCCTTACGTAGCTGGCTGAAACCAACTATCATAGGCTTAACTGAATGATGTCAGGTTTCGTTTAGATCACTCCTAGCTCTTTAGCAACCTAATCTCCCGTTATCTGACAGTGAGAGTCAAGGAAGGCTATCAGTGGCTAGGCATGCATAATACATGTCGTAACCGCCTTACTTAATCGGTGTAACTTCACAACCTAATCGATTGAATTCCCCTCCCTACCTAGCATTCGACCGAAGCCTAACCATATAAATATTGCTCAGCTTATTATATACTTAACATGGGTGGCACAGTCGTTAGGACGCTCGCCGACCATGCACATGGCCCGGGGTTCGATCCCCGGCCGACGCACTCCTTTACCTTGCTAAGCCAGAAATAATGCCGGTAGAGAGAAAAGGTTGGGCATGAGGCCAGCAACCCAATCCTGTAAAAAATAAACACTGCAACAGAAACTTCAAGCCACTAGCTTGAAGCCCTATGTTCCACTGGGAACGTGAAGGAAAAATTATTTATTTTTATTTATAACATGGGAGACAGAACGCAGGCACCTATGATCAAAGACAGCTAGTCGGCCTCTTGATGTCTCTCACTTTCAGTGGCAATACCCCACTCACAGCCATAAAGGAGGACGCAGCGAAGTGCTGCTGAGTAGTATACATGCCCTTTGGTCGATAGCCAACCAGCCGGATATCACATCTACACCAGGGATGGCGTAAGTTGGCTAATACCAAACGAGCCTTCTGTATCCGTGTCCAGATTTCGTCGGCGAAGAACCCGCTAACGTTGGCTGATGCAACTTCCTAAATAAGTAAGGTGATGGTCTACACGCTTTACCATTTCACTCCTGTCTATCTTCAAGCTAGGAAAGTCAATGTAGTCCAGTCCAGGCCTGTAGCATTATCTTGCATTTGACAGGAGCCAATCGCATGCTAAACATTCAACGATTCCTGCTCTTCAAGGTGATCAGAAGACCCGACCAGCATTTCGTCAGAGTCTTCACATAGGACGGAAGACTATGTTATGTTCATATTCTAAGTTAACGAAACAGTTCCCCAGTAACAAGTCAGTCCCTTAGTCACTAACTGAAGTCAGTTAGGGTTAAATACTTTTGTACAATATCCATGATGAAATTAATGACGAATAGGAACAGTGGGCATCCTACCTGATGGACACCACTAGTTGTCATCGTTACATCAGAAGACAACTCTCCGTAGGCTCTTACCTGGTTGCATGAATTCGACTAAGTGAACAAAACATTTCAGAACAGTTTTGTTTGCCTAAAACTTATTGATGTGTGTAAAAAGTGTAAGTGATAACAAACAGTTCATACTTTGTGAATCGATCAAAGAGTGAATGATAGTGTTAGCGTCTTGGCATACTTCGCATACTAATTATCCCTATTCATACTCTTAGATTCAAATCAAAGTAACGCTTATTGAATTAGCTTCAGTGTAATTATTATAAATACACGTATTAAAAAGGGGCATTTCAGAAACTTTGAAATAAGAACAAAAAGTACAACAACAAAAAAACTAGTGACAAAAAAAACAGAAAAAACGACGAAGTCTCTACGGAGTCATTTATTTGACTACTGCCCACTTGATGGTACATTAATTTCGTCAGATATACAATCTAAATCTATAGAAAGTTTTATGAATTAGGTGTTCATCTAGCCAAATTCATTGTGATGCGATTGTGTTTATTACAGGAATAAAGATGAAGATTTAATCAACCTGGAAGAGTAGACAGAGTGACTGAATCTGCACCATTCAGAGAGCAGTTTTCAACCATATCACTAATGTTCTCAGACTACTGGTGTTTCGTGTTTGACCAGACCATTGCTAACTCTCCCTTAACTTAATCCGATGTCAGTTAATATTACTTGACAAGGTCTAACACGTGTTTCAGCCATCTCAATCAATTTACCTTCATAACTTTATCGATCGGCTTACCCTATTCACTCAACATTCTACGCCCTATATGAATATTATTTACGATACAGTAGCACTTGACTAGAGACATGGGGCCCAGATATGTGTATTCAAAGGCAGCTAGCCTCCTCAGCGGGAATCGAGGTAACAGGCCTGAAATGGACCCTCACGGAAATCTTGGAGGATCTGGGCTTCGCTGATGATATACGTCTGATTTCCCACAAACTGGAAGACATGCAATTCCATATTAGTTTGTTTATTAGATGTATCACACAGTGAAACAGTATTATTTACTGGATGACGTTTCGAACAAAATTTATTGTTCATAATCACCCCAACTGGGAGATATGCAAGTGAAAAGCAACAGGTTGGCAGAAGAAGCATCAAAGATAGGACTCCAAGTGAACATAGAGAAAACAGAAGTGATGAAGATTCCTGACCAACTCCAACAGCAACAACAACAGCAACAGAAAAAAATCAGAATAAATGGGAGGAAGCTGAAAGAAACAACCTCCTTTACCTACCTACATGAAAAGCATCGTTTCAACTAAAGGCCGAACTAATCAGGATATCACAGCGAGGATTGGGAAAGCAAGGCAAGCTTTCATTTCTATCAAGTCTGTGTGGAGGTCAACAGCACTCACCATCAAAAATAAGGTCCGGATTTTCAAATCCAATGTGAATTCAGTCAGTACTACTATACGGATCAGAGACTGGCACTGCGCGTCATAAAGAGCACTTCAAACAAACTACAGACCTTTATTAACAGCTGTCTTCGCCAGAAAACATCAGCAGCAAGGATCTCTGAGAGCGAACCAACCAGGAACTGATTGTGCAACAAATAAGGAGGAAGAAATGGAGATGGATTGGCCATACTCTGAGGAAACCACCAAGTGACATCACTAGACAAGCCTTCAAGTGGAACCCAGAAGGGAAGTGGCGAGTTAGTCGTCATTGCGAGGGTAACATGGAGGAGGAGGTGATATGAAGAGGAGATGAAAGCATGTGGGCAGACCTGGGGCCAGGTGAAAACTTTATCACAGAACCGAACGCAATGGAGACGCGCGGCTGAAGCCCTATGTTCCTCTAGGAATTAAAGGAAATAATAATAGCCTCCTCAGGTCTTCCACTTTCAACGATCATGTCTCATAGCCATGAGACATGACACAGCTAACTGCTGTTCAGCACATACATCCTTCGACCAACAGTCGGATATCATTCCAACGTTCCCAAGGATCTAAATTTCAGTTTCACTTCGGTAATGTTTAGTCTCTGCATAATCTTGTTGACTTTCTAC